CATGATAGTAATTTAATTTATTATAAAATTATTATGTAGATATTTACATTTCGACTTTTTAGCAGTTGTAAAATCAAAATAACAGGTATATTATACTGCAATAAAAAAAATCATATAATATTTAGTTGAGCATATTATAGTGTATATGGTATAATTTTATAAGTCAGTTTATGAGAAAAATAAAACAACGATTTCCCACACGTTTATTTTTTTAATAATTAGGACATAACTAAATAGCACTTTAATATAATCCACGGACATCAATGTGATGTATTTATTTTTGGACTTAAACACAACACACATTTTCATCTGATGAACTTATATAAAGATTTTTCGTGTACAATAGAAACACAAAGTTTAATCCTTTAATTTTTTGTTTTCTACATCATTTTTAGTTTACTTTTTAGCTTTTTGAAAAGCAACATAAAACAAACAACTTTGAGAATGAAAAAAGGACACATTTTGTTTTTATGAACTCCAGACAGAAGACAAAACATTAATGTTCTTTTGTATAAGCTATTAGAATATAACTAATAAAGTACTATACTACTATCTTAATAAAATTAATAAATTTGTAATCAGTAAATTATAGATAATAACATATTTGATAATAATACTCTTTCTTTTGTCTTAGATTTAGATAATGTTTTACACAATTTTTGAGTATTAAACTAAAAAATTGATTTATATTAATATTTACTTTAAATATTTATTTTGCTGTATTAAATAGCTTAATAATTTGTGATATTATTTGGATAAGAAAATATGTTTAACTATAGAATTTTAGAATAAAATAGCCGGAAAGTATACATAACCTCATCCGAGTAATGGTCACTCGTCACGCTTCATTGACCTCAGCGCAGACTAGTGGTGTATTATTATTATGAATTTGAAAACAATGATAAATCATCGTTGGTACTCGTAAAATGGTTCTGAGACCTGAGTGAAGTGAAGGTCACACAATGCATATGCTTACATTATTTCAATAGTATTTGCAGTTTTTTCTTTACACTAAGGAATCTAAAATTGTCCTTCTAAAATTATCGATATTGATAAAATCAATACAAAGACTATTTCCATTATTACCCACTTGAAAGTTTGGAATTTCCGGTGAAATATTTTTCACTAATAAAATAAAAGAAAAAGAAAAATCTTTTAGATAAACAGATAAGACAATCTTTACTTCAGTGAGTCTAAGAATATGTTATAAACTATTCAAAAAAAATTATTTTATTAAAGATAATATACTTATTAGTGCTGGTTTAAACTAATAAAAACAATAATTTAATATAACAATTGACTATTAAAATAATATTTATAAAAAAAACTATTTTTAGTTAATAAATTAATTTACGAAATTGCTTCATTATAATATCGTGACACTATGAATACTATACATGCTTACCCGTTAATTAGATTCACAATTTTTTTCTAAGTTAATGTCTTTAGCTATACCTACGCAGATTAATTTATCTCATTAATGTCAATAAAATAAAAATGCATAATGTAAAGATACAATTGATTTTCTAATTACCTCTTTAACTGAATCAAAGTATGTGAGGAAATAAAAGCAGTTTTTTTTTAATGATCGTCCCAAGGGATAGACAAACTTTAACATCTAACAACGGGTTCACGTGAGGTAATTTACAATTATATATAGTTGAGTTTTATACGAAGTTAGAACCATCCACCAAAACTTAAAACCATGTACATGTACCGTAGAATTCAACGAGTTTTAAGTATTAAATAAAACAAAATAATACACCTTTGAGCAGCTGAATGAATCAAATAGATTTATAGTTTAAAGACAAAAATTTAAGAAATTGCATTATTTAATATATTATTATAGTGTTACAAAATAATAATATCCGTATAAGTATTGAAAATGAAATGAGTGAGTTAATGAGTCAGTATACTAAGTGATCATTATATTATTATGATATGTATTTATTATTTATATTAAATAACCTAAAGTCAAGACCATCAAGATTTTTTCAAAAGCCAATTTTAAGTGATAGGCATCGGTTAAATATTTTTATTTATATTATAACTAATAAAAGAAGGTGTGTTGATAAACCAAATACTGAAATACGTATACATACAAAACAAGTTATATATTTTCATTTTGAATATGAGTTAACTAGGTATTGAATTAAACATTTCAAAGAGCTGAGTAATTATAATTGTTTAATTAAAATGCAATTTATGTAATTACATGTTTTGATTTTCTAGCTTTAAACAACTTTTATAGTCACTAAGTAAACTAATTTATTGTGTTATTTAACTTTTTACACGCATATGCAGATAGTGTAAACATAATTTATGAATATCTAAGATTAACCTAATCATAACGCTTGAATAACCCTTTTTTTGGAAATAAAAACTTCGTAGAGAACTATAAATACATAGAACCCGCATATTTTTATACACCTACCTACAAATTCAACCTTAATGTAAAACAATATATTTTACAGTTCAAAATATGTTAGCTGTAATGATTGCGTTGTTTATAAATTATAATATTTATTTATATAATATTAAAATATTTTATGGCTTTAAATTTCTGCGTCATATTTATTATTAAATAGTTTAGCTTTTTATGCATAATATATGCATATTTAAATATTATACATTTTTTTCAGTTTATAATATTTGTTAGTTTTTAACTGAAATTTATAAATTATAATAATAAATATCATGTTTAAAATAGTTAAGCTAAGATTGTTTAACATATGCTTCAATATGTTTTGTATGTACAAAAAAAAAAAAAAAAACATACAATATATAAAATATAGGTAATGATCAGTCACCTTTGCTTTTATAAAAAATATATCTTTATAAAAAAATAAAATTTAACATTATTTGTCTTACAGTTTATATTAGTATAATAAACTATAATAAACACGTATACATTAACACCAAAAGTAATCTGTTTCTTTCAACTAATGCTATTGACTGCCAAAAGAACATTAAGTGTAATTTTTTTCTCTATATATTTTTTTCTAGAGAACATTATTATGTTCTAGGTTACTACAGTGCAATAATTAAACTGTTTGAAATTGACGACTGACGAGTACTTTTATAGATAACGGTAATGACAATTTTTTTTACTAAATACTCTGTAATAATTCCTTAATCTCTTAAGGAGATAGGGAAAATAAAGTTGAATTCACGTATATAAATTATAGTTTAAATGTGTGTTACGACAATTAGCTCTTATATTAATATTATATACGTCAAGTTATAATATTAAAAAATACATTTCTATGAAAAAATATTTATTGATATGTATTATATATATTTTATAAGTAAATATTTGTGGTTTTGGAGTTTTTGCATAATAATGCACGTATAATTTAAAGTAGGTATATTATAATAGGTACTCGTATACACTACTTGTTAATAAAAGTTTTAATATTTTTTTATGGGTTATCCATTGCTTAAAAAATAAACTAATATTTTTTAATTTAATATTTTAGGGTAGTATACTTTGATGAAGAATTATTGATTATTGAACCAAAGCTTTATTATTTATAGGCATTTTACATTAAAGAAGTGAAATTCTAAACTGTAACCGTATGTTACTAATCACTAACAAACCATTAACACTACTTATTATTCAATGATTTAGATTATAGTATGTTACCTATATATTGTAAACTATATTGGTTTAACACTAAATATTTTGTCTATCAATATTTTCCCTGCCTAAATTATTCTACTCAAGAACATTAAATTTAAAAATATACAAGTTTACGATAAAAAAAAAATAAATATTTGATTTAAATCTGTTTTGTAAGAATGTAAATAAAAAATTGTATATACATTTTAAAATTTTAAAGCTCTATAGTCATATAATAATATATTATATAAGATAAGTTATATTCAGTATGTATTTTTATCAATTGTGTAGTTATACTAACATTTTAACTTATAGTTTCTGAACATTTTTTTTTTAATTTTAAGAATTGAAAATATCCTAATTTTATAAATATAAATTACCTTTTCTAAAAATTTCACGTTTTGTTACATGCATAATTAACCTACACCAAATAAGATGTCGAATAGATATATATTATGAATTAAAAGTGTACTCATATTATGTTTATACAAAAATAAACATTGAAAATCAAAAGTATTGGCACAATAAAATGTTAAAAAAATTATGTAACTATTAAACTATATTATATTAAATTAATAAAAATAAAAATTATTGAGTATGATAGGCGAATATTTACAAACTGTTTACATAAAAACAAATGTATAGGTTGAAATTTTAACAAATTAAAAAAAAAAAAATCAGTCGATTAAAGTAGTTAAAGGGTTCAGTTAATGAAATCAATGTGATAAATTAAAAACGTAAAATGTGATTGAAATAAAAATATAATACATTGTACGAATGTGTTTTAAATGTTATAAAATTTATAAAATTTAATTAATCAATGAACTTAATATAAATGGTTTTTAGCTTTTGCTTAATTTCGGATAATCGGTAGTACAGACAGTACAGTGGTATGATAGTATTCTCATTCACTGCACATACACTGAATACTGCAGATACATGTGTCCAACAGTTTCAAACGTATAACATTTAATATGTGACATATAGAAGAAACGTAAGTATATTTGATTTTGATTTTTATACATAAAATATACGGATCCGCTAAATAACCAATTTATTTTCATTAAAAAATATTATAGATGAACTCAATATAAATTAATTAGGTATAGAGTATAACGAATATCAATTAAACCACTTATGGACTTAAGGGATTCGTAGTGTAATGTTTCAAATAACTGTTAATAAAATATACCTAATCAATAAAATGATTTGTGTTAGGAAAAAAATAAAATTCATTTTGAAATATATAATGAAAATAATTACTTTTGTATCAAAAATAAATTGTTATGGCTTTTTTTTTTTTAAATTTATATTTATATTATTCAAGTGTTAATTACTGAAAACAGTTATAATAATATTGTATGTTTTATAAACTTACCTTATACGTCGACAGTGATTCTACGACGCACTCGAGGATTGCATCTCGACCGACAGTTACTGTTAAATTATCCATCCGGTCACTGAATTTTGGTGTATCACTGAATAGTATTTCTGCAAATACAATAATTAGTTGTAATCATTAATAATTTTCTGTTTAGATGTATTTCAACTACAGATATACATAATGTACTTATATATCTGTGATTTCGACAGAGATGCGAGCGTAAGCCAGATAGGTACTTTGAAAAAAATATGATGTCTATCCCCAAAACTTAAGTACCTATATATTATTCTTAAACAATGCTCATGATTATTAATTAATTGATCTATGTAGTACGTACTACCAGTGTCGATGATATCATCTGAATACATACGACAAATTTCTACATAGTAGTTTATTTGCCATCCATACCAACCCATCAGAAGTTCATACAATCAAAACATTTTTAGATAATATTATCCTTTTGAACTTTAACTCTCTTTTAAAAATTAATCATAAGCATACATTTTTTGAATTTTTTTTGAGACTTTATAGTTTGAGGCTTAGCTTTTACTAACTTCAATCACAAAGTGTTTACACCCAACCATCTATCCACTTAAATTACTTATGATATTTGTCACAGTTGAACCATAGGATCGGCACTACTACCTACTATACGCACTCTATAACTGAAAAAAATATCGACAATATAATATACTGCATACACATAAATAGTTTTTACTTAACGAAATGATAATAATTAAAAATGTTTCATGTGAGTTCGTAAATCGTAGTAACTTCATGCCCACTCTTTAAATTTCTGAAAAGTTCAACATAATATACACTTGGACAAAAAAGAGTGTGACGTAGGTATCTACGGTAAGGAAAAAAATCATTTAACAACATCATACGCGCGCGCAGTTTGTAGGCTCACTTTTTTTAAGACTTAAGATCTCGAAAATTTTTCGAGGTCCGTCATCATTGTGTGTCTGACACGAGAAAAAAAAACCTAGTGTGTCTCCGTCCTGAGATGTTTGACTGACGCGTCAATTTCCAGTTCCATTTTATCATTATGTTCACATATATTATACATATACGTATAATAATAATATGCTTATTAAAAATTTACCTTTAGGACAATGCGTTGAAGCAATGATATTATAATGGTATTATACTGTTATGTCATGTCTCAGATTTGTCATTAGTGGCATAAACTATTATATCGTTTGAGACATAATAATTTTTTGACATCTACCCCATATAACATTTTAATATTATATACAATATGCTGTAGGTTATAGTAATATATTATGACACTATTTGAGTATAGGTAATGAGTAAGCGTTTATCAAAAATTTATAAATTAGAATGTATTAAAAATGATTAAAATCAAATATAATTATAAGAAGTTGTATTTATACTTTATTATCTTATTAAACAATAATAGACTTATGGAAGAATGTTAGAAGAAAATCGCGTTAAACATAATTGAATATTAATATATTTATAGCCTGTCAAACTTGGTTAACTTCAGTATTCTTATTATAGTTAATCTCATTCGATTTGGCTAAGATTTTATATAGATTATTTTTATGAATATTTGAACCAATTTATGTGTAGTATTTATAACTGAACGATTTTAAAAATCAAAAAATAAATATCTATTACTTTAGTGTACATAATATACATTATTATTGATAGTGAACATTTTACTATCGATTTTCATCTTCCTATGTCACTAACTAATAATTATCTATGATCTATACACGCTGCTAAGTTTTGAGTTCCTTGCCTCAAAAAATTACTTTCTCACTGAAATTAAATTATGTCTTATGTAATATTATTGTTGTCACCATTGTAAATCGGTATAGGGTTGTTCAATAAATTTATTCAAACGAGGTGCCCACATCCACAAATGCCATTCATCGGGGGCCGGGGGCCGGGGCCCGCATTGTTCAGTGACCCAATTGCATATGCAATGGATTTGGAAACGACGCCTCCACATCGGCGCGCGCGTAATGTGATTAAGTGAAATTGTAATTAAGAGCGAGGCTATTATTATAATTAATATTTTAATATTATTGTGTTGCAAGAATGAATACAAATAAAAATGATAATGGAACAATTTTTTCTTTCTTTTTTTTTTTTAGAAAATGACAAAGCGGATGGTTGTTGGGCGAGGGCGCAGTGTGAACCTTCGCTGGGACTTTTTTCTTTTAAGGATTTTTGGCGGACCCCCTGCGCATTGTGTGCCCAAGCGCGATTCGCGTGCAACGGTTTCCCGTAATAAATTCCCATGTACACCGCACTTGTACAAGTACATAATATATTGTATACTTATACTTGTACTTATGTACTTACGTATGTATATACGACAATAAATACGCAAGCGGGCGGCACAATACTGAACTTGTGTATTGCATGAGGTTTTTTTTGAGGGAAAAGGGGCAGGGTCCGCTCCGGCGTGATATTTTAATTCAGCTAGTCACGCCATTCGGCCGTTGTCTGTTCACGTGCGGCGGCTGGTCACCCGCGTTTCACTATTTCACATATTATATACCTACTGGCTACTACACACAATAGATACGCGAGTGTAATAATAAATCGTCATACAATGTACGGGGTGATCCATTTAAATGGCTATGTGTTAATTCTCCAAATCAATTTGAAAGGAACAAAAAGTGTATCATAAAATTTAAAAAAAAAATAGGAAGCGGTGCACATTAGGGTGAACATAATGTGATATATATATATATAATTAAAAAAATAATATAAACGATTTTATCTTAACTGTATAAAATCTTCTAAATATTGTTGTGGTCTTTATATTTTTAATGTTATTTTGGAGATAATGTTTGCTTGTTATCATATGTGGACATGTGGTAAATGTCACCCTTGTTCCGGGGATTATACTAGTAGTATTACACTGTGCAAATATGCAACACACCAATAAAGTACATGTTTCATTCTTGTCGTATGTTACTGACACCTGGTCGTCGTCATTCAATGATCGTTACACAAACAACTGTTTTTTATAAGTTATAGTTATTTAATTTTGTTTCAATAATAACTCAAAATAAATCAGTAAAAATATTTTTTTTCCATGTAGAACAAGGGGACATGATGCTTTAAAAACGGCAATTTTATTTAAACGGACGTATAGTTACTCTATACAGCATATACCCCAAAAATTAGTTATTAAGTTCTTTGCTCATTTACGCATGCGCGCTGCTTGTCGGAAACTGTTTATTCAATATACATAATAACTGCCGGATATTTATGCTTCAACATTTTTACAAAAGGGTCTTGTCTTTTGAATTTATGAGATTTAAAATGTAGGTATTTTCGTTGATTGTGATAATTTTTTTTGTTTCTTTCTATACAAACAATGAACTTAGGTTTTATAGGAATATTTTTGGACGTGTTCTATTATTGCCAATGCGTATTATGCGCAATCGTTCGAATGATGCGATTAGGATTTTGAAAACAGCTTTAAGGGTTTTTATTTTTTCGTTTTAAATAGTGTACTTGAGAATCGACTTGAGCCATGTTATCGATACTAAAACTTTAGGTTTACTAAAACATTTTCTGGAAGTAAAATTTTAAAGTAACAATTTTTTTAATTAACTTTTAAAATATGAATCGCCCTAAAATTTAAAATGCCACCGCTACCGAAAAGAAAATTAAAACATTAAAAAAAAAAAAATAAATAAAAAAATATTTCAAATCGTATGAGAGCTTATTTTTATTTTATTTTTATCAATAACACAAAACCCTATTGTGAAATAAATTATTATGGCTATATTTAAACGCGATATACCCTGTATACCTGCAATAAATCGGACGACGAAGACGAACGACGAAGTACATCATGAAAAACGCGAGTGCATATAGGTATAAGTACCAAGTATATATCCACTAATATATATATATATATTATATATATATATATTGTTACCACTACGTACCGTCACTATATTAGTGATGTTTTAATTTCACTCAGCCGAGAGAAGCAACAATAATAACGGCCACTTGGCCGTAGCGGCGGCAGTGGCGGGGGACGAATATCACATCAATAACCGTTGCGTAACGCGACGATTGATAACAATAAGTCACGCACATGTAGGTTATATATACGCAAACATATTACATATATATATATATAAACACGCCAAATAGAGTCGTCCCTTTCACACTTTCATTGGGTCTTATCAGCATAGGACACGGTCCGCGTTGATTTATAATGTACATAAATAATAATATATTATATTATATTGGTATCCCGGACGGTAGAACGTAAAATCGGACGTCTTAATTATAATAAGAAAGAAAGTTATATCTACCTGTCCGTTGCCGCTCGATAGAGACTATATTATTATATATTATTGACACTTATTAATTATTTTTGTTATACAAGATACTATATATATATACATAGAAAGAGAAGTATAATATACTTCCTAATTTATGTTTTCATGCTGGTTGAATAAAAATTAAACAGATGTAACGGTATATAATATAGTAGACGCGATTACGATTTGTATATCCACTCTTATAGGTATATACAAATGCTAGCTCGATCCATCGTATATTATACTGCGTCCCATGGCGAGCATTATAATTATTATTATTATACGAAGTTATCGATTCGTCCAAACAATCGTCCGACACGTCCACGAAAAGTTAAGAAACAAAAAGGAAAATATTACAGTTTTCACCTTTATAGCCGTTTTCAAGCCGTCGGTAGCGTAACCCCGCAATAACGCGTCGGTGTTCGCATGACTTCGAAACGTGTAATTTAGTGGCCAAAGTGGCCTGGACTACCCTCTCACGGAAAAAAACAGGCAAAAGAAAAAATATGTATATTAGAAATTCAGACCGACGTAAGAAATGTGTATTTTAATGACGGGTTTTTGGCACTTAAAAGCCAATGCTATGGTAGGGCTATATGTAGGGTCTATAATATTATATCGACTTCGTCGAGAGGTCAAATGATTGATTAGTTAAACGATATTAAGCTTTCAACACAATTTATAACATTGTATACGTAGGTATACCTTGTTACCCTTATTAATGAAACGTTATTATTATAATACTATAATACACTAACTTCTTGATAATTTTGTCCACG